TTATCACATAATTTTTAAATTAATTTAAAATTTAAAATAATATTAAAATAAGAAAATATTTTTTAATAAACTGGCGACTTAAAGAATGAGTTTGAACAGTAAACCGACGTGTGCTTTTTAAATTGGAATTAGGTTTTTTTGGCATGTTATTTTGTGTGTGATAGCTGTGATTTTGTTTATTCGTTCTCAATAACTATCCAACTCACAGCTATCACACACAAAATAACATGCCAAAAAAACCTAATTCCAATTTAAAAAGCACACATCGGTCTACTGTTCAAACTCATTCTTTAAGTCGCCAGTTTATTAAAAAATATAATCCGAATTTTAATTGATACCCAACAATGCCTAAGTAACAAACATTAGAAAACTCAACTTACAAATGGAAATGGACCTACTCTTAAGAGCCATTACGTTGGAAAATACAATATTAAAAGGTGTATAAATAAATATATCGTGAGATTTCTTTATTTTTATTTTTTTTGTCTACAAATAAGAATGTTGTGCACCTTTCTAGGACTCTCATTATTTCATTGTTTGCACACTTTGATATCTTCTTTTCTTTGCTTGAAAGGCTCTACAAAATGTTGGTTTGACTTCAAAAATGATAGAGAGAAGCAAAAGATGTTGGGAAGATGTACACAATTTAATTTTATTCAAATTTTATTATTTTAATACTTTATATCTAATACCTAGATCATCCCTACTGGGGTTGAGTCTCAATCTATGTGACAATTACATGACATTAAATTATAAATTCATTTAAATACGAAGTCACATGACTCATTTAATTGAGTCTATCATTTAATGTTATGTAATTATCACATAGACTGGTGCTCAACCCCAGTGGGGATGAATAGCATCATTTTTCATAAAAAAAAAAAAAGTAAAATCTTAATAGATCGAGATCTAATGCTTTAAATTCTTTATTTTTTTCGAACAATGAAAAAATAACAATGATTGAATAACACAACAACGCGAGCTAATATCGAACATTGTTATGAGGTCATTAAAAACAGCTGGAATTTGTAGGTCCAACTTCCCTACTTAGTTTAGTTACTACTAAGCTTTCAATGACAACTAACAAAATCATTGCCAATATTCTTTCACTAACTACATCTTATATTAATATTCTTAATCTTATTATTAAAGGCCTACTAAGTAGAGGGCTTGAGCTAATTGGACCCCTATTATTTTTATTAAGTTTAAATTATTGTCATAACAGGGTCATTAAGGTCTTTTAACGTTCTAGGGTTATTTCGTTGAATTTTGATAAGACTTATCTTCATCTATGATCTTCTATTCGGCGTGCAAGATTTTATTGAATTGATTAATCCGTCTTAATTTTGTCATTTACAACCAAGAATTTTTTTTTATGGAAATTGTTTCAAGATCCAACTTCCAAAATTAGATCCAAGTTTTATTAATTCAAAAACAAGATATTTTATTAAGTAATATATTATTATTANTATTTTATTATTTTAATAATACTTTTTTTATATAAAATTTCTCATTGATGATGTCATTTTCCAGTGATATATAAGTGGACCTTGAAGTGTACACTTTTTTTTTTCTAATTAATTTACTAAACATGCTTTATACATTATTGTGTTCATACCTTTTTGTCTATGGTGGTTGTGTATATATATATGTTTTTTCCTTTTTTTGATATATATTTGTATCTTGTCACATGTAAAATAGTGTAGGAAATGAACCATCTTCGCAAATGTCTTTTGTGGTAAGCAACCCTTGGAATTATGTACCCACCAACTCCAATTTCTAAATTCGATTTTTAAGAGTGACAAATATCCCCCCCTGCCACCATGATTATGTCAAAGAATTGAAGGTATTAAAGTTTTATTTTAAATATTAACATTGTTAAGAGAATTACTTCAAATTTTTATATATTAATCTATATTTTGTTAATTATTCGTTGTGAAATTTATTTCTTAACACGTCTCCGCAAGATGATGATTTGTTTAAACATACCAATCTTAAAATT